GCGATGCCGCCGCCGCCGCTGCCGCCGCCGCTGCCGCCGCCGCTGGCGGCGTCGGCGGCCTGCTGCGGCATCGTGTCCTCGCAGGCGGCGTTGTCTGCTTCGAAGCGACGCAGCATCGCGGAGAAGCGCAGCAGCTGCGGTGAGGAAGGGGCGGGGTGTGGCGGCATGGATCATGGCCTGGCCTCGAGGGGAGTGGCGATGCACGAAGCGCTCCAGCGAGCGGCGGACCCTGGAGTGGGGCAGCAGGCAGGGCCCGCCGATCGGGACGGGCCGCGCCGCTGCGCCGGCCGGCGCAAGGCCAGGACCCCCGCCCGCAGCCGGGCACCCGCCTGTTTGTCCAGGTCGACAGCGCAGTCCTGCTCCCACTCCGTCAGCTCGTCCCGCGAGCGGCCCAGCAAGCCCGCCGGCTTGCGCCTCCGCCGCGGCGCGCGGCCGCCTTTCATCACCTCGCTCCCGCCGCCGTCGCCGCCGCCGTCGTCGCCGCCGCCGTCTTCGCCCCCGCGCCCTTTTGCGGCGCTGCCGCTCGCCGCCGCGCGCGCGTCGCCGACGGGCCATCCCTGATGCGTGGCGCGGCTTCGGGAGCCCAACGGCGGTGCAGCGCCCTCGAGCTGGAGCAAGTCGTCTCCAAACACCTGAAAGTTGGAGACAAGGCCGAAAACATCCCCCGCCTCGTCCGCGGCCGCCAGCAGCGCCAGCAGCTGCGCCGGCACGCGCTCGCGCCAGGCGCGGCCGCCGCCGCCGTGCGCGCGCTGGCGCAGCAGGAAGCGCAGGCACAGCGCGCGCAGCACGGCGCGGAGCAGCTCCACTTGCAGGGCGACGGCACGCGCGAGCGCCAGCATCTGGGGTGGCCCCTGGGCTGCGGCCTCGGGGTCCGGTCCACCTTGCTGTCGGCCGCCCTTGGGCCTGCCGTGATGTCGGCTGCCGCTGTCGAAGGCCGGGCCGGTTTCCAGGCCTGCCGCCGCCGCCGCCGCCGCCGCCGCCGCCGTTTGGCGCGCCACCCGCCCCACGGAAACAAGCGCGTCTACAAGCAGCGCGCCGCCAGCGCCGCTGTCGCCGCCGCCGTCATGATTGCCGCCGCCACCCCCGCCTCCGCACGCAGGCGCCGTCGCGACGAGCGAAGACATGTCCCAAACAACGCCCTGCGCTGCCAGTGTTGCGGCCGCCGCGCCAAGCAGCGCGTCGCGCACCCGCCCCTCACGCTCCTCCCGGGGCTCGTCCCCCGCCGCCCAGGGCCCGTTCCCCGCCGCCGCGGCAACAGAAGCGAGGCGCATCGCCCGCGCCCAAGCCAGCTCGTCTCCGCGCTCGCCCGGCCGCTCCCCCGCAGGCCCGGCGGCAGACCCAGCCGCCGCCGCCGCAGCTGCAGCGGCTGCCGCCGCCCCGACATTGGGCAGCTGCCGCTCGGCTTCCTGCAGGCAGCCCAGCCAGGCGTCCACCAGCAGGTGCGGGGCCGGCAGCAACGCCAACATCTGGTCCGGGAAGTCCTGGACTAGCAGCTCCACGGGGGGGCTGATGCCCGCGGCGGCGAGGCGTGTGGATTCTCTGCTCAGCTGCGACCTGGCGGAGGAGGCGAATGCCTCGTTGTAGGCCAGGACGCCCAGCGCCCCGACGGCGCTGCCGAGCACGGCCGCGTGCTGCGGCGTCGACAGGCCGTCGAGCGGCTCGCTGGGCCGGGCGCGGCGGCGGGCGGGGGAGGGGGGCCGATAGATGTCGCGGTCAGGTAGGGCGCAGGCGCGTGAGAAGGGAGAGTGTCAGGCGCGCGTGCGTGTGAGCATGACGTTTGACCGTGCACATGGGTGTGCACGCGCGTGTGCTGGTGCGAGGTGCAGGCGTCGACTTGATGCGTTCGCAGCAGAGGGCGCAGCCGCTGCTACCCAAGACCAGCGTCAGCAGCATCAGCAGCAACAGCAGCAGCAGCAGCAGCGGCAGCAGCAGCGGCAGCAGCAGCAGCAGCAGCAGCAGCGGCAGCAGCAGCAGCAGCAGCAGCAGCAGCAGCAGCAGCAGTCGCGGAACTGGTGGCAATACAGCAGCCACGGCGGCAGCAGTAAAGCGGCACCGGGCAGCTAGGCGCCCCTTTCTCTTGCTGCTCGCGCGAGCCCCTGCCGGCTCACCCCGGCACCATGATCCCCACCGCCAGCTCAGCCAGCAGCACCAGGCGGTGCTGCGGCGACAGGGAGTCCGCCAGGACCTGGCCGTTCAAAACGTCCCCGCGACAGCTGGGTGGCGCAGGCGGCACGGGGGCCTTTGCCGCGTCTGCGTATTGCTCGACAAGGAACGGTACCGCCACGTGCACCAGCTGGTGGGAGGGGGCGCGTGAAACCGCGGCGCAGCGAAGTGCGCACAGCAGGGGCAGGGGGGGCGTCGCGAAGTGGCATACGCAGGAGCGTGTGTGCGTTTGTGCAAGTGCACATGTGTGTGTGTGTGTGAGTGTGTGTCCGCGCGCGTGCGTGTGCGTGTATAGAATGCACATTTCAAAGGTGGGCGCTTCACCCCCTGCCGCCATGGTCTGGCCACCATGGTCTGGCTACCACACACATTGCCATACAGTCAGCAAGGCTGCTTGCCCAGGCTTGTGGCATCCCCGCCATCGCAACATCGGCGCCGCCTCACAAGGACACCACTTGGACAACTGGGTCAGACTTTCTCGTCTGAGGACGCGCGCAAGGCGTTTCTTCGTTGTGGCCCCCCTCAGTCCCGCCCCCTCACCTGCCGCAGCTCTGGCAACGCGAACCGCAGCGCCTCCAAGCCGCGGCCGTCGCATGCGGCCCACGCCGTCTCCCGCAGCCGCTCTCGCGCGCGCAGGACGCGGGGGTCGTCCGGGCGTCCCGCCAGGTCTCGCAGCATTGTGGCTGAGTTCATCATCTCAAAATCGGCGTTGTATACATTTTCCCATGTGCAGTGGTACTCTTGCCACGCGCCGGGATCGACAAACGGCTGCTGCTGCTGCTGCTGCTGCTGCTGCTGCTGCTGCTGCTGCTGCTGCTGCTGCTGCTGTTGCTGCCCATGCCACAGCTGCTCGTGCTGGCCCCCGCCATTGCCGCCGCCGCCCGTTGCGTCGCGGCGGGCCGCGGCCGCGGCGAGGGCCTCGGCGAAGGAGGGGTCTGACACCCATGGCGGCGGCAGTCCCGTGACCCTCAGGGCCGCCATTGAATCCAAGCACACGGCTTCCGCGCGGACGGCGTCCTGGTGGTACGAGAGGAGCGCCATGGCGCGCCACACGCGCGCCTGGATGTCAAATGAGTCGCCGCCTGGCGCCGCTGCTGGCGTCGCGGCTGCTGTTGCAGCAGCGGTCGCTGCCGCAGCGGCGGCCGCGCGGGCACGCTCCGCCTGCTCGCGCCGCGAGGCCTCCGCCGCCGTGCACGGGGGCCGCATGGTGGCTGACGGCGCCACCAAAGGGGATGTAGATAGGATGCCAGACGACTATGCACGATGGGGCCTGAGAGTGGGCGCCATTTGCACAGCGCTGCTGCCGTGTGTATGTGTGCTGTGCTGCAGCGCAAGCGGGGTTCCGGTGTCAACAGATAGCACAAAGTGCTGCTGTGCCGGACACCCTGGTCGTGTCGTCTGTGATAGTGTATAGTTGAACTTCTTTACGAAAAATTAACTGGCATGTGCGAGCCTGCCAGTAAACCTGACAGATCACGATCGGCACGATACAACGATATACAACGACCACCTGACATCCTTGAACCGCAACTGCTTACCAACTACCGTATGCAATAGTTTGATGCGTAGGAACCCCAGCCCGACCTCGCAATTACAGTGCAAAGGTTGACTGCATCACTGAGGACTGCATCCGTCCCAACGTGCCGGCTGACGCGTGCAGTGCCCCCTGCCTGCGACCCGCGCCTGGCCCCCAAACTTCATGCGGCATAAGAGATCCATTATGCAAGCAGTGGCCACTCGTATGTGAAGTAGAGGACCTAAGCACCCGCGCGCCTGCATCGTCCCACCTGCTCCCCTCTGCCCCTCAACTACAGTCGCGACACGCTGCGGTGCCCACCCGGCCACCCCGGCCCCGTTGTCCCCTCATCCCGGCCCCAGCTGGACCCGACACGGGACGTCCACCGCCGCCATTACTTTGTCGAGACGCGCAGGCTCGACAACCCCAGCAACACCGGGCGCAGCGCGCGTGGGCCCCGCAGCAGCACCCCACCGCCGTCCCCCTTCCCCACGCCGCCCGCCTGCTTGACGCCGCCCTCGTCGTTGCGGCCGCCCCCGTCCTCCTCGCTGCCGCCGCCGCCGCCGCCACTGGCGCCCGTGCGCGTGGCGTCCTTGACCGCCCGCTCCACCCACCCTTGCAAGACATCCGGCCCGCGAGCGGCGGCCGCCTCCGGCGCCACCCCGAGCACGTCCATCATCAGCCGCCGCCCCGGCCGCGCCGCCGCGCGCGCGGCGCCCAGCACGCCGCACAGCGGCGCGTGCACGCCGCGGTGCTCCTCTGAGCACGCCTCGCTGCAGTACCACGCGGCCTGGCAAGAGGTGCAGTACCACCACTCGTCCCTGGGGACCGCCGCCACGCGGGCGCACGCCCAGCACACGCGGCCAGACTGCTCCTGCAGCTGCCGCACGTACGCCTCGGGCTGGGCCTGGCCGTCGGAGCACAGCATCGCGGAGTCCGCAAAATCCAGCGCGGTGCCGCGCGGCCGCGGCGGCACATGCCGCGCTGCGTACGCCGCCGCGCGGCGGCGGCGGCGCGCGTCCGCGTGCAGCCGCTTGGCCGCCGCCCACGCCGCGGCCCCGCCGGCGCGGCCCGCCGGCTTTGCTGTGCCCGCTGCCGCTTCGGCGTCTGCTCCAGCTGCTGCCGCCGCCCCTGCCCCTGCTCCTGCCGACGCTGCTGCACTCAACTCCTCCTCCTCTTCCTCCTCGCCGCTGCCGCCGCCGCCCTCCTCGCCGCCCAGCACGCCGAGCAGCGCCGCGTGGTACAGCCCGCAGTGGCGGGGCGGCCGCATCACGCAGCTCGTGTACTGCGGCATTGGGTAAGGCGTGTCCTCCGCGCTGGCCAGCCCCAGCTCGAGCGCCAAGGCCCCCGTCAGCGCGCCGCTCGCGCCGAGGGGGTTGCACGCGCGCGCGGTGGGCCCGTCCCACGGGGACCCGTGGGAGGGCGGGGTGGGGGCGTGCGCGGTGAGGGCCAGGAGGGTGTGCAGCGCGGCCATGGGCAGGGCCGGGG